TATACATATATATAAAGAGAAAGATGGCAGTATATCTTTTTATGTGCCAATTTATTATGTATATTATAGATTATTTTATATTTCATGTGTCACTTAATAATGTATATTATTGTAGACATGAAGCCACTTCTTACACTATTTGGAGGGGCCACAGCAGCTGCTTTTGGGCCCCTGCTCGTCCTTCTTCAGGACTGCAGGTCTCACCACGTCCACGTCACGGTGCAGGTGGTCCAGCAAGCCGTCAAGGATACTCGGAGCAGCATAAAAATCCACCAAAAAGTAAGTCCCTCTACTGTGCCTCTGATTGTGTTTGGTCATCTTGTAAGGCAGGAGCCTCTCTCCCAGGTTCTCCAGGTCTCTCACCACCGCACCCCGCTCCATCAGGGTCTCCACGGTCCGCCGGAGGGCAGCCGCAGTCTCCGGTCGCTGCATTGCCTTCAAGATCAGCGCTAACTCGTAGCGAGGCATGCTTACAGCAAATGGCCCCTTATTCCACAGCTATAAACCCTTCAACAACAAGCTAGTGTCAAAGCAGTGGAGGCCACCATGTTATGACACGAGGGACACGGAAGCACTTTTGTGACGCGCATGCGCACAACTTGGAACGACTTTATAAAAATAACTATGTTATATAAATAAAAGCTGGTTTAGAAATGTAACGTCAATGCAATATTACACTTGTTATCATGTCATTTAAATATATATAGATATAAATTTCAGAAATAAAAGGCAGAGGTCTCACTCTGCTGGGAATAAAAATATATATATATATATATAATGTTCAATCTTTTGTTATATGTAAATTTCGGAAATAAAAGGCAGAGGTCTCACTCTGCTGGGAATAAAATTAAAACAATTGTAGAAACATTTCAAATAAAACACTTCACGACGCACGAATACTACTAAATAAAAAATCGGGAGAACTCCTAATATGTAATTTAATATCACATTACCAGTACGAATTCTTCATATTTTTTCAAATTTTTTGTGCTTTATTTTTTTAAAACGGAGGCAGCCATCTCTTCATGTAATCGTCTGTTTGTCGTCATGAGGTGTCCGTGACTGCGTCACTTCCTTTCTGTCTACAAGGAGCGTGGTAAAGATGGCGGAGCCAAACTCAGTACCGAGTGATCTTTATAAATGTGTTTATTCGTTCCTGTTGGAGAACAAGTTCACCAAGGCAGCTCAGGAGTTCCTAAAGCAGACTAAAGTTGTAAGTACTGACTCGTAACCACTGACTCGCTGTTTGTTTTCTACAGCATCATATTAACTGTTAACGCTCAGGTAACGTGCGGGGGGGCCCGGCGATATAAGCACGTGCAGCAATGTTGAATGTGTTGTAGCTGCAGGGTGGATTATAATTGACAAAAACGCGTAGATACTATATAAAGATAGATTATATAATATAGATATTAAATCAAACTAAAAGCCTTCTTTGTAATCAGTAACTTCTGTTTTCCTTTTTTGCAGAATCCACAAGATCAAAATGAAGAAAGTCTCGTCAACATCTACAGCTTCTGGGTGAAGTAAGCTGTCTTTCATTTTTATTTACTCTCTGAATTAAAACTAAACCTTAGATGAAACAGTCACACCAGGCTCTATGTTATGTTTATCAAATAATAAAGAAAGGTGCTGGTTCATTCTTTTTTATCTTTTTTTTTCTACATGTATTTTTTGATAATCCCTGAATTAGATTTCTGATCTTGTTTATGCTTTGTATACTTTCTGGTAATCTTATCGTCTATGTATCACAACAAGCATAAGTGTGTCCACAAACTGATACATTCTCTTTACACAGAGCATATGTATTTGTTACATTTTGATGAATATTGCTGTAAACCCATCAAAATATAAATATGGTATATTGAGGGCATGTTGTACAATTAAGGCTAAAATGACTTACCTGACAGTAGTTCATCAGGTTATTTAACACACTGTTTGCCTATCTGTGTCAAATCATTGAAAGTTCAGTGGAAGGAAAAAGTACAGTATAATGTAAGCGAAGGCAGGATATCAACAGCTTAAGAATAATGTGAAGCCAAGTCTTTTCAGGGGTTATTGAAAGGTGTGGACAGTAGCCAAGGGTCAGAGTTTCATTATTTACCAAACAGTTCCTGTTATACCTGAACTAATGCATGCGTGAAAATGCATGCATTAGTTCAAGCATTCAGTGCATATACTGCAGAGAGCATGGATATACTTCTCTGTAGAATCCACTTTTTCCCACTTCCAATTCTGATAGTTTATTTTTTTAAGTATGCCATAAACTTCCTTCAATAAGCAAGCATATGTACTCTTGTATATGCCTAAAGACAGTTCAGAAAATGAAACGATCAAAACAGCAAATTATCTTAACAGAAAGAAGCCCCCCCCCCCTAAAACAAATGTGCAATTATAAGGGTTCGAACAGATTGTATTTATTAAATCAAAGATGGATGCCTAGAAAGGGTTAAACCTTTCTACCAATTATTATATTTTTAACAAAACTTAAATGTCTAATTAAAAAAGGACCAACTGCTTCTATGGATCAGGCCCATTTCCTCCAACATCTGATCTAGTATGTTCTTCAATACTGGTGTGTGTATATGTATTGGATCAGTGGATCTCTGGTTCTCAGTTGATGGATATTTATCAGTCTTCAGTGACGTTCCAATCGTTTTAAATTTTTGGGTTTCATCAGCTGAGTCGTCTTTAAAACTAACAGGATTCAAATTAAAGCATTTTCCTGTTCCCCTGTTTTATGTAGATGTCTGAACGTTGGGTTTAATGGATGTTTATTTAATTTGATGCAACAAATGTCCTCCAACAAGTTTATTACTGCTGACTGCATGACAGCATGACTGGAGGCTCAATCAGACGAAGAGGAAACAAGGAGAGGCCATTTCTACTTTTAACAAGATTTAGAAAGTGTTATTTACAAAAAAGTTTCCTGAACCACCTCTAAAGGGAGAGAGGTGAAAAAGCTGATTTGGAATATCTCAATCCTTTTAGTGAGAACTATTACTTCATCGTTAATAATTGTAGATAAGTTGAAATCCTTTGTGCTTCTAATGCTTTTTTTGAATTGTGATCAGGTGTGAGAGAGTGTACTTTCAAGAGCTGATTGTAGGTAATCTAGTTCTTAGCGTTAATTTCATTTTCATTGACAAGGTCTCCTGAAGCCAAGAAACGAAAAGCAGCTCCTAATGATCCGGGGTCTGTTAATGGGCCATCAGCCAAGAAAGCCAGACCCAGTGCAGAAAGCTCTAGCAGTGAGGACTCAAGCGACTCTGAGGAGGAGAAGACTCCTGCAAAGGTGGGCAAAATCCTTATACTGAAATCAATCAGTTAAAGACTTTAAATTTCACCAAGTTCCTAAAATGAAGGTTGGTGTCTGTAGGCTCCTGTTAAGGCTGCTGCTGCAGCTGCTGGCAGCACGAGGAAGAAGGACAGCAGCTCCAGCAGCGAAGAGTCGGACTCTGAAGATGAGCAGCCTACCAAAGCTCCTGCTGCCAGTAAGTCCGAGGCCATTATGAGTTACGATCACGAGAGTGGAAACCAGTTAAAATGTGCTCTGTTTTTGATAACAGAAGGTGTGACTGCAGCCAAAGCAGCGGTTTCTGCTAAAGGGGCAGCTCAGAAGAAGCAGGAGAGCAGCAGTGAAGATAGCTCTTCTGATTCTGAAGATGAGCCACCAGCAAAGGTAAACAGGAAAAGGTTCCCCCAGCATCAGTGTATAAATGTGTTGAAAATGTACTAATGGCTTATTTTGTGTTCTGTAAGGCTCCCGCTAAGCCTACTCCAGTAAAGAAGGCTGCAGCTCCTGCTGAATCCAGCAGTGAAGACTCATCTTCATCTGAGGATGAAGCTCCGCCAAGCAAGAAACCCAAAGCAGGTTTGTTTTTTTTACTTGGTTAAATACTGAGAAATTAAAGTAATAATTTAAGCCTCCTAAGAACTCTATGAAATATTTTATTCTGCTCACTTATTGTAAAAAAAAAAAATGCTGTTCAGTTGCATTAATCCATCTGATAGAATCTCTCAGGTTACATTCTGCTGAATTCAAAGTTAATCAAACGGGATCATTATGTTAAGCAGAACCACATCAACAAAAAAACAATTAGAAATTTCCTACTTTCTGGGAAGTTTCTTCTTCTTGGTCTGTATGAAATTCTAACCTTATGATAACCATAAAAGGAAAATTTACAGTTTGATATCACAATATTAGAAATACAGCTCTAATTCTAATTATTACATAACGGATCACTGTACAGATTTATTTTGCTGAAATCAAAGCAGAGAATTTCCCAAGTGAAAAGCAGAGATTCCTCTTTGCATTTCCCGCTTAATGACACTTATCCAAATCCTGACCAATTACACAACTGTTATCAGGCATGATGTGAGAAAAAGGCTCTGCCCAGAAGTGCCTAACACAAGAATAAGAAAACCTCATTGGTTTAGGGACCTCTATGTTGCAATAGTAACATTATAGTCCAAATGTCCTCCTGTGTATTAGGGGCATACAGCGCCGTCCCTCCTCCTGCTTCCATCCATAAGGCTCCTGCTGCAGCGGCCGCCAGCAAAGCCAAGGCCAGTGAGTCCTCAGACAGCAGCGACGACAGCAGTGATGAGGAAAAGAAGGTGGCTGGTAAGAGGTTCCCAATTTGTTTAGCCTGGCTTTTCAAAACATTTAACACCTTAACTAAAAGCACTGTAAACGTTACAGCAAAACCTGCTCCTGTAAAGAAGACCAGTGCAAAACCTGCATCGACCAAACCTCAGGCAAAAAAGGAAGAATCCAGCTCGGAGAGCTCTGGTAAGCCTGGACCTGATTATACTTTTGCTATGAACCTAAAAAAAACGCGTGAAATGACAAACTCCAGTGTTATTCCTGTCTTAGATTCAAGTTCTGAGGACGATGAACCAAAGAAGCCTGTGGCTAAAGCTACTCCGGCTAAAGCTACTCCGGCTAAGGCTACTCCGGCTAAGGCTACTCCGGCTAAGGCTACTCCGGTTAAAGCTACTCCGGCTAAAGCTGCTCCGGCTACAACAGAGGACTCTGAGGAGGACTCGAGCTCAGAGGAAGAGCAGCAGGTGAAGAAAAAAGCTGCAGCAAAGGTGCCTCCTGCCAAGCCTGCACCTGCTAAAACCTCTGCACCAGTTACTCCCGCTAAGGAGGAGGACTCCTCCTCCTCAGAGGACTCCAGCTCAGAGGAGGAACAGAAGACGGTTAAAAAACCAGTAGCCAAAGTTGTTCCTGCAAAAACTGTCACTACAAAAAAAGATGAGACCTCCAGCTCCGGTGAGGAACACTAAAAAGAATCATTTCATATCATTTCTAATTTTGTTGCCCTCAGGTTGTTGTCATGCATTCTTTATGCTAATTCTAGTCTTGCTAATGTTTTTAAATGGTAGCTGTGTGTTATCTTTGCAGAAAGCAGCTCTGAAGATGAGGCTCCACCAAAACCACCCACTAAAGCTGCGACTCCAAAAGCCGCCACTGCTGCTTCTAAACTTCCAGCCAAGGCAGCAGAGAGCAGCTCAGACTCGGACTCCTCTGAAGATGAAGAGCCTGCAAAAACCAAACCAACAACCCCTAAAGTGGCTACGCCGGCTTCAAAATCTGCAGCGAAGGCCTCTGCTGCGGCAGAGAGCAGCTCAGACTCGGACTCCTCTGAAGATGAAGAGCCTGCAAAAACCAAACCAACAACCCCTAAAGTGGCTACGCCGGCTTCAAAATCTGCAGCGAAGGCTTCTGCTGCGGCAGAGAGCAGCTCAGCCTCTGACTCGTCGTCAGAAGACGAAGAAGAGCAAACCAAGTCAAAGCCAACAGCAGGAAAAGATACTCCAGCCTCAAAGCCTGTTAAAACTGCAGTGAAACCTGCAGCTGCAGCGGAGAGCAGTTCTGACTCTGATTCATCTTCTGAAGAAGAAGCAGCCAAACCCAAACCTGCAGTGACTAAAGCAGCTACTCCAGCTTCAAAGGCTGCAGCTAAAACAGCAGCTGGATCATCAAAGCCAGCTGCTGCAAAACCTGCAGCATCAGAGAGCAGTTCTGACTCTGATTCTGAAGATGAACCAGCAGTCAAACCCAAACCGGTAACTAAAGCGGCTACCCCTGCGTCAAAGCCTGCCACACCCACAGCGAAGGCTTCTACTCCAGCCTCAAAGCCTGTTAAAACTGCAGCAAAGCCTGCAGCAGCATCAGAGAGCAGTTCTGACTCTGATTCTTCTTCTGAAGACGAGGAGGCAGCCAAACCCAAACCTGCAGTCACTAAAGCAGCGACCCCATCTTCAAAGCCTGCCACACCCACAGCAAAGGCTACTACTCCAGCCTCAAAGCCTGTTAAAACTGCAGCAAAACCTGCAGCAGCATCAGAGAGCAGTTCTGACTCTGATTCATCTTCTGAAGACGAGGAGGCAGCCAAACCCAAATCTGCAGTCATTACTCCAGCTTCAAAGGCTGCAGCTAAAGTGGCTGGAGCCTCAAAGGCTGCTACACCTGCTAAAACAAAAAGCAGCTCTGAATCTGAGAGCTCAGAGGATGAAGCAGCCAAGCCTGCAGCCAAGAAACCGAGCCCAGCAGCTAAAGGTTCAAGCAAAGCTGCTGCAGGAAAAAAAGCAAAGGAGAGCAGCTCTGACTCCTCAGATAGCTCTGACTCTGAAGATGAGGCCCCGCCTGCTAAACCTGCAGTCTCCAACGGCAAAGCAGCAACTCCTAAGAGCACAACAGCAGCAAAGGTGGCAGGTAAGCCTGCCGAGTCCTCATCCAGTGAGAGCAGCTCTGAAGAGGAGGAAGCCAGCAAAGTTAAACCTGCAGCAGCAAAGAGCAAGACGACCCCAGCAGCTAAAAGCAAAGAGAGCAGCAGCTCATCAGACAGTTCATCGGAGGAGGAGGAGGAAGCTCCACGTAAAGCAACCACTGCACCCAACACACCCACAGCTAACAGTGAGTTCCACACGGTCTAAAAGGGGTTCAGATCCATCATTTTAACTTTAGACTTTGCCATGGTGTCCCATTAAAATCACAGACCTGTCTTGACACACAGATGGTTGATAATTTTACACATGCTACCATAAACTGTTGTCTCTGAATGTGAAAATGAGACTGAGGTCTTTTAACTTCTGCAGATACAAATGGAAAGAGAAAGCGCAGTGAAGAGTCATCAGAGAGCGAAGATGATAAAAATACTCCAAAAAACAAGAAAGTGACCACAACGCCACAGACTTTCCCAAAAGCCAATAAGAAGGTAAGATCTGTTAAAGCTATGGCGGCTAAATTCAGATAGTTTGCTGAGGAGAGGCTGATGGCTCTAATTTTGTTGCAGTCCAACGTACCCTTCCGTAGAATAGTGGAGGAGCACGTAGAGGTTGATCCCCGACTGGCAGATAACTCATTTGAAGCTAAGGTGAGTTTCCTCTTATACCAGCAACCTTTAATATTCAGCTGAAGGGGTTTCCAATATTTTAATGTTCCCTTTTTCTTTCAGCGTGGAGCCAACGGAGACTGGGGACAGAAAGCTAACGAGACGCTAAAGTTCACCAAAGGAAAGTCCTTCCGCCACGAAAAGACGAAAAAGAAGAGAGGGAGCTACCGGGGCGGAGCCATTTCCACCACAATCAACTCTATCAAGTTTGAAAGTGACTGATCCCCTCCTGATCCCAGTGAAACTGTGAACAGGACTGTGATTTGGTCCTCCTAGGAACCATCTGTCACCGCCACGTCTGAGGCGCTTCACCTGAGCGAGGAGTCTAGCTGGCACTTTGATTTATTTTCCTACCTTTAGGCAACATTTGATCAGATTTAAGGTGATGGAAATCTTAGCAATGATGCAGATGTTCCATGCTGTGTCATCAAGACTGCACGGTTCATTTGTGTGATGTTACTACTTATGGCCACTAGGTGGCTGCAGGCCACCAGTTGATAAAATGGAGCCAATGTTTGTCATCTCTGGTTAATTAACCTGTCCCTTCATCCTGTAAACATCCCGTCATTTTCTTTATGTAGGTTAATTTGTCAGTTAGCTCGTGGTGAATGACAGCCATCCAACCTAACAAACTCATTGTTTGGAGAAAAGACTGTAATGATCTTTTTTTTTTTTTCTTCCTCTTTGTTTAAAATGGATCTGAGGTAGCGTTCAATTTTATTTCTGAGTTTGAGAGGGGAATATTTGGGCTTTTTTTTCTCTTACAATCACAGTAAACATTAAAGTTTTATAAGGTATTTATAGTCAAGTTTTATTCCATTTGGATTATCAGGACCATTGACGTCTGCTCCATATTTTCTAAAGGAAAATTTGCTTTGATCCTGTTTTGATGCAAGGACGCCCATGTTAACCCCTCCCTGTTCTGTTCATCAGTGATAATGGAGCCATATTTGTTTCAGTTTCCATGTACTGTATGAGAATGTACGTACCACGAATTTTTATTCTATCTTTAAATAAAACCCTAGAATAAATGTTGGTGTCACGGGATTATTGTTACTCCCTGCTAAATTGTCTGTACTGCTCAAAATTTTACAAATATTTATGCGTATGTTGAAAAAGATCAACACAGGATGGAGCAGAGCTATAGACCGAGAGTTGACAGTGGTACCAATAAAAATGATGCTTTTCTTTTGTTCATGCTCTTAGATGTCTCTGGAAAATTTACAAGTTCAATTTATTGTAGGCACCAGATTGTTCTGCATTCTGTTTAAGCAGAAGTTTGTTGAAGTACAGTGACAAAAGAAGCATAGAAGAAAACGTTGAGGTGTCATAACCTCACCCACAAGAGTTTGCAGTTCATCTGAGAATGGAGATCTACAACTAGAAGTAATCTGAAAGACTTTTGGACAGTTGGGGAAAAAAATAAACACTAGTATAAATACAATGAAAGTCCTAGAAGTAAATTTTTCAAAGTACTCAAAAGTACCTCATCACCCTCCTGAGAAGACCAGGTACATGGTAAAGCATAATGATGGCAGTATTATGATGTGGGATTTTTTTTTTAACTAGGCTTGGAGAGGGTGAGAGGATGGATGAGACTAAATCTAGTGGAAAACACTTGATGCTGGTGTGGGTTCACACTATTGTCCCTTCAGCAGGACGATAGAGCTAAATTTTCAACAACAGCCTAGTCAAAGTCTGTTCGAAAATCTCTGACACACAAATTGATATTCAAAGATATTCTCAGTTTAGTTAAATTTAACGTGTTTTGATAAATATATGTCTCTACCTCAAAGACTGGCAGAGAAATATTTGTTAATGAATTGTAGTTGCAACAGAAACCAAAGATTTTTAATCTTAGAATAAATTTCCTTTTATTTTGAAATAATGACCCTGTGAAAAATTAATCTATTAATTCCCTTTTACATATATTGATTTATGGGTGCTGAGTTTCGTTCATTAATTTCTCAGCTGCAAGGCTACAAAGTGTTTAAGGGAGAGGAGTTGTTTTTCCTAGGGAGTGTTTGGGATGAAAATAATTGTTCTCATAAAAAGCTAGACTATTTCTCAGGGTTTATCTTCATTCCATTTTACTAATTTCTTCAACTGTAATTTTATTTTAGTAATGGGATGTGGAGACCTCCACGGCCTTTCTGCAGGGTTTAAATTGGTGATATAGATAAACTTTGTCTATCCAAAGCAGGGCTGAACATTATGCTATTTTGTTCTCTCTTTGCAAAGAAAATGAAATGATTCTCTTTATTTAATTCAACTACCTAGTTGAATACCTTTTTCCCACTCCAGAAGCACTTTGTGTTGGTCTGTGGATTCCAAACCGTTTACCATGGGGGGCAAAAATCTTAAAAGTACTCAGGGGCCTCAAAATTATAGCTCCTTTTTTTCTCTCTTATTTTTAAACTACAGAACAGTGAACTAAGAATGCAATATTTGAAGGAAACCAGCGGAGCAGTCTGACAGCTGTAGAAAGATACTCAATAAATACCTTTGGATACAATATGTCTCAAATAGACAAAGAAAACTTGCTAGTAATGGCTTAACATGTTCAGGTTTTTATTTTAATATATATATATATTTTCATTTTAGTGTTTTATCGACAAGAAAATGATATCATTTTCCCTTTTGAATAGGAAAGTTTGATATGTGGTGTCTCTGTATGTTCCGGTCATTTAAAAACAAAAATAAAATTGCTTTGTTATTAACTTTAAATTGCCTATATAAGGTTTTTCACTGGTCTTTATCTTTAACATATTTAACCTTATAATTCTATTAACATGTATCTGGACACTTTGGACACCACTGCACTTTAAGAAGAACCAACAGGTTTAATAGAGAATGTATAAAATAAATGAGGTATTAAATAGGTGATAGAACTGTTTGGGTTTTTTCCCCCTCAGAGCCTCCAGAGGACAGTAAAGCACCTCTGTGTAAATGTGGAACAGAGTCCAGTGTGCAAACAGTCACTTGATGATGTGGAGCAGCTCTCAGTGGGTTTGTGTGTCCTGGCTGCATAACTCTCTGCTCTGGGCTTCACTAAACAGCCTGTCAAGATGTGTGAGGATAGTGCTTGAAAAACCAGCTACAATTTAACGTTCAGCTCACATAGTTGGAATATAATCCCATGAAACGGTCTCAGAACCCTTAAACTCACCGGAGCTGTCAGTCAGAATATCAGCCCCTTAGTTGCATTCCTCTCAAGCTTGAATAAAGATTTAATGTCATATTTCAGATCACTTTAAAAAAACAAAAAAACTGTTCTGTCTGCAGTGTCCATCAGCTTCATGTAAGCATCAGCTCGTCAAATTCTACAGCCTGCTGTGATGAAAACTCTGGGTTGGTTCTTTTAGAGTGCAGCTTTAGTGCTTTACAGCATAACAGAGGGGGAAAAAAATCCACATTTATGTTGGCAGATTCTGTCACTCACTGCCCACAGAAAGCATGTGAGCGGAACATTTTAAGTGTTAGATGTCAGATATTGGTTGTTTCCGACAGTGGTTGTAGTTGATCAGAAAAGAACATTTTTCTTACCTTTATTGAAGAAGTTTTGTATTCATAGAACCAGATCAGCCAAGAAAAGGTAAGAACCACATTCTGCTTAATGTTACTGAAGTTCTCTACTTTTTAGGAATGATTTAGTTCCCTTATTATACCACACTACAAACAAACTTCAGCACATTCTAGAAAGATTTTACTCTGATATATGAAGGCAGTACTGTAGAGCTTATAGAAATAGTTAAATCTGAAAAGTGTGGCATGAATATGCATGTATATCAGTCTCAAGTCCTTTGCAGCCCTTTAAAATAACAGGTAGTGTGTAAAATGAGAAACATTGTAGTTGACTGTAGAAGTATAATCTTGTATTTTTTTCATGGATGGAAATATTTGCATTATCTTTATTGCAAATCTATTGATTCTTTATCACAAATTTCACATAAATAAATGTAAATATTCCATAACTTCTCCGTTTTCATGCATGAGCTCGCCAAGTAACTCCTAAAAAAAGGCACATTTTTTAACATTTTTTTTTAAAGAGTAATGTGTTTTTATCGTTTTTCTTTATGGCTTCTTTATCAGAGCACATTACTGCTGTTTTCTATAAAAAATTTTATTTGTACAACTTTTGTCAATAAAGGTTCCTGTAAAAAAAAAAAAAAAAACAGCTGGATAAACTTAGAACAGCTGGAGATTACATTACACATGTGGACTCTATCAATTAGGTGGCAGCTGAGGGTAATTGGTTATTTAAGGGCACTGGAGCAACTGGACTTGAATACAAATGATCAAAAATCCTTAAAGTTTGCAGCTGTAACATCATGGTTTATTAATAGGCCCAAAGTGGCTTGATGAGGCTTGGTTATATTCCAGTACAAATTAATCTTCAAATATCAAAAACAGTTTTTATGATTGTTTAAACCTCCTAAAAAATAAGAATGTGATCCATTTACATATACAAGCTGGGCTCCGTGAGATCAGTCTGTTGCTGGGACACAGCTCCAGTCTACACTGATGGGTTCTGAAATAGTCTCAAGATTACCAAACCAGGAAGGCAGGCTGTTTTCAGAGATAAATCTCTTTTAATTAAAACATTTGGATTTCTATGCGATTGCAATTCCAGACGTAAACTCCAGGGAAGAACACGGCTGAGGAATACTGATGGGACGCCCTGGACCCCAATCTCCTGCCTAGAAATCACTCCTGAGCACCAGTTCAGCCACCGGTTATAGAAGAGAGGGAGAGCAGGGCTGCAGGCTTCAGGCCGATGGCGCAGTGGTGCGGCGATTTTGTCTGTGTGAGCGAGGACGCTGCAGGACAATCTTTTAATGGGCAGCAGAGGCAGAGGACTGCCCATCCTTTTCCATTTCAATTAGAAGAAACTGCTGACTGTTGCTGCGCAAACATCCATTGCTTTTATTTGTCTTTTCTTTCCAGACTCGTTATGACTCCCAGACTCTCACATAAACATGTTATACAACTCTTCATTAAATCTAACTAATGACTAAGCAGGTTATTAATCCAGCTAATCTCTAAAATTCAGTCTAAGAAAAAGAATGAGGCTTTGAATTTATTAAAACATCTTTAATAGGATATTTCTTTAAAGGTTCATATGAGTCAGAGAAGCATTTCACTGTTTTTTTTATTGGACAAACTGGTGAGGAATATAAAAACAACAGGAGCAGGACTCAGTTTGCTTGATGCAAATTTAACTGAGAAGCTGTCAGTAAAAATGAAGTATTACTGAACTCACAAAGGAAGAAAAAGCGGTATATTAGTGTTTTCAGCTCTGAAAATAAAAAATAAAAAAATATGAGAAAAAATAAGCAGAAGCTTTGCAGTATTGTGAAACATACAAGTAGAATGCCAGGCCTAAAAAGGCACCAGAGAAGAGAGCTGTTCAGGTTTGCTTCAGTCACTGTGGATTAATGGCAGCAGCATGCAATAATTACTGATGATGGCCCTCAGAGCTGCAGCTTCACTGAGTTCATGTCGATCCTCTCTCAATGGGAGCGTCCCCGTCTTTATCTCTCTCCACGTCTGAAGGGGTGTCCATTACGTCTTCAGAGTGGCGAAGTCCCAGGCGGTGTCCTGGGCGCACTTCCACATGGCACGCACCAGGCGGGTGAAGCCCATGTCTTTGGGTTTCTCCAGCCCACGCATCAGCCGCTGCTTCATGATGGCTATGAACTCCTTGTTGCTAAGCTCTCCGTTCCCTGAGGAGGGGGAGAGGGGTGATGGACAAGGGAGGGGAGGTGATGAAATAACGAGGGAAGAGGAAGTAACAGGAAGTGGGTAGAGCTTCTATTTTTTTTAACCTCTAGAGGTGCTGTCAGTAATATGCAGCCCCTCTGTCATTTTACAACCAGAACCTGCAAAACATTTTATGAGGCTTTTAAGTTAGACAATTAAAAAGCTGAATATTTTTATGAAGGGAAAGGAAAAATGTTTCTCTTTGGATGGAGGAAAACTAACACCACTGCCTTGGTAAAACATGGTGGTGGAAGTATCATACAGTGGGAATTCTTTTCAATTTTATTTGTCAACGATTTTTAAAGAATTGTGTTCACATCACTTAAAAATTTATGAGGAAATTTTCAACGATAAAATTATTATACGTTATATATAAGTTATATTATACGTTAAAAATGCATCATTGTGCTGTAATGTGCTAAGCATTATCAGCTGTGCTGCTGCGTCCTGTTTGGTCATGCAGCCCACCTGGCGTGTAGCGGTTCACATTCTGCATTGCCACAGATGGACCATGGCAGCAGCTGCAGGGTGGTACTGCGCTCAACTCTGATAAACTGCTCTTCCAGCTGTACTTTTGCAGAAATGCCTTTTTTGTGCGCGGCGTAGCTCCGACTGCGCATGTGCTCCACACTGATGTTTCTCTCTCAGCAGTATGGCTCTTTCTGCTCTCGCTACTTAATAAACTATACGTGGCTGATCATCCTCTGCCAAGTGTAAAAATCCTTTTGTCTAACTATCAAAATTTTATTGCTTCCAGCTCACAAGAGCTGATACTAAACCTTCTTTAATTTCTACCAAAAGGAATCCCTAAATTATTTCCAAAGCCAATATTTAATTGGATAACGTTTATTTTTGGAGGAAGCCCCCGATCTTTTTTGGAGTAAAGAAGATTGATTGATCTGAGTCTAATCCATATTTCATAGTAGATCAGGAAATATTTGCTTTAGGATGGAAACCTTGTATGCCTAAAACTATTCCTTTACTGAACATTTTGATAGCTTGTCTGTCTGCTATATAAACCAACATGTGTTGAACTAGATCTGCTATTTTCACAATTTTCGTGAGAGACTTTTGTATAAAGTAGGGCCTTAATTCATAAAAAAAAGTTTTTTCTTTTTTATTTTATAAATCAAAGTTTTCTGCCAAACAGCAATGATGAACTGCATGGCACTGTTGCATCTCCAACAATTGTACTATCTAGGAAAGAGCTGTCAGTCTGTTAAAGAACCTGGCTGTTAATCAGAATTGTAAAGTTAGCTGTTTTATGAAGTGCAGCATAAAAGTGGTTAAAACTAGATTAAAACCTTTTTGAGTTTTAGTCAACTAAAATGGACTAAAACTATCACATATAGTAATGACTAAAATGGGACTAAAACTAATAAGTCTAAATCGAAGATGGCTGCCAAAACTGTTCAGTCAAACAATTTAACCTCAGAGGAAGAGAATCTGAGTGAATCCAGAAAGTTGTCAAAATATAAGTCGGCCTTGGTGACAGAAACTGGCATCAGGCATCTATGATACCTTTCGTATAACCATAGAGGAGTTTATAGAGAAATTAAAGGGTTTCCGAACGATAAAAAGTCTGTTAAAGGTCTTGCCACATCATTTCAGATTGAAATGAAGGCCGTTAAAAATCCTCCTTCTGGTTTGTTTTGGATTAAAGTCACAGCTGGATCTGCTGCTGTGCTTTGGATTATTGCCCCGTTCAATAACCCCAGTGGGTTTCAGCTTAAGGTCATGAACTTTCTGCTACAGAGCAGCCTTCATGACTCCATGAGTTACTGCAAGTGGTTAAAGACCTGAAGAAACAAAGCAGCTGTAGAAAATCACAGTAGCACATTATCTACTTTGATCATGATGAGATGTACATCCTGCACAAAGATCCAATTTTAACTCGTCAGTCCACAGATTATTTTCAAAAAAGTTTAGGGACACATCAAGATGTTATTGGGAATTATTTTGGATCAGAAATGTTTTTTTTATTTTTTTACCGTTTTCTCCAGTCTCTATCTTACTGTTAATAAAGCTTTGACCTTGACAGAGGGAAGTTGGTCTGCAGGTATTCTATTTTTTTAACCTCCTGGATGAGTCATAAAGCTTCTTCTGTAGTAATAATAGTCGACCATCCTCTCCTGGGAAGTTAACCACTGCTTCATGTTTCCTCCATTTGTGCTCCAACTGTGGCTCCCTGGAGTAACAACGCCTGAGAAATGGCTTTCTAACAATTTGCACATTAATAGATTTCAATGACTATTAAATTGATGGATGATGTGATGCTTTTATCCTACTTCATGCAGCCAGATGGGTTCTTTTGAAGCCATTCTTGAACCTACAGGTCGGATGTTTATTAAGGAGTTCAGGTTCATCTCATAAAACCTATTAAAATAATCCTGTTGTTACAAGTTGCAAAAAGGACAAAGGAGTGTGTGTGTGTGTGTGTGTGTGTGTGTGTGTTGGGTAATTTTCTTTTCCTGCTCAAGGGGGTCTATCTGCTGTCCCTAATTATCTATAGTGGAGGGATACGGTAATGAGGCTGTCATCCGCTTACCGTCACAGTCGAAGAGAGCAAAGACTACGTCGCACACGTGATCCGACAGCTCCACCTTGGCTACAGTGCGGGCCACCTGCTTCATGGTAACTGAGATGGGGAGACATTTCAGAGCAACAATGGTCTGAGTGAGTTTGCGTGGAGAACATTGTGTGCACAAGTCAAACTGCGTTGGATCAATACAAGGCAGGTTTTTCCATTCACCAGGGACACATGGGGAGGGGTGGGGGGAGCAGACAGCACTGAGACGTCAGCATGAGAGAGGAGAGGGATGGAGGCTGTGAGAGGGTCCAGGTGTTCGACATTAGAAACTGATTAGAAACATTAGAAACTGAATTTGGTTGTTTTTTCCTTTCATTTTATATTGGAGCACCAGTATGTTAGTCTATCGCATGAAATTATCATTTGGTGTTAAAAACACAATGATAAAAGGTGCACCATAATGGGAAAAAAAAGTCCATTAGAGGCTTTCTTTTGTAGCTTTCAGAAAGCCATTGTGCACTTCCCCACTTAGAACGCCCACATATGAGAAAAGGTGTGAGATTGTTGGATCTTAGAAAGAGATAAAAGCAAGAAAAGAAAAACAGGAACTAAGACGGAGAAAAAAAGAGCAGCAAATAATCTAAGAGCTCCTGCAGGCAGGAGCAGAGAGCCGTTTTTAGTGCACGGATAACAGTGGGAAAAGGATAACTTGCAGACTCATGCCTGGCAGCAGGCTGTGAACCAGGAAGCAGGCTGATGGTTTCACAGCAAACACACAAATCGTTGGGAGCTTAGTGTGTTTTTATATGCGGCCGAGCCCGAACTCTGGAAACTTGCACCTCAGGGTGGACCCCCCCCCCCCGTCCTAACACAGCAGCTGCTTCATCAGTAAACAGACATGCAGACAGAAAGCATATGGAGGGTTATTCAAGAGCTGACTTCTAACTATAAACCAAGAGACACTGAATAATCAAACAGCTTCCAAATCAGAAAGCTGCAGATATTCAACTGCTTATATCAAACTGATGAACAGAAATTCAAATGATCAAATCAGTGATTTCACTCAAATCACTCTGATTAACACTGAAAAAGCTACAGCAAAATCTTTCCAAAGAATTCAGCTTTTATTGGAGCAGCATGATGTCTAAAGATACAACCTTTAACTTACATTTAACCATAACTTATTCTGAAAACCACTGCAGCTATAAATATTGGCAATCCAATCATTTATCTAACCTTATCAAGGTACTTCAGTTTTTTTGTTCAGCTCAGCTCAGGTTTTAAAAGGTCTCCTGGGACTGAAATTCACAGTAAAATGTGTCAGATTAGAATCAATATCCATTTAAACTAACAGCCTTTATTTTGAAGGTGATCTTGACAGGAAATGGGTGAACAGAGAGGGGGAAAACAATTATCAAAGAAAGCTCCATAAGTCAGAGCTCAAATGGGCTCCACCTTTGCACCATGGGTGACCAGCTTTTACATTTCTGGTAGATGTGAAGTGTTTTTGTTTTTTTACATTATAAAATTGTGTTGTTTTTTTTTATAATACTGAACATTTTAAATAAACGTTTTGGGTAAACTGAGAAGCCAGCGAACCAGAGTCAGAAAATGAACAAGAAATAGATGTAGTGGTGTCTCATTTATGTATGATTTATGCAAATATCTTTGATCTGAAAGGCTGACCACAGCTTTAAGGCGTATTCTGCTCTTCCATCTTTTCTCTGGACTTTTATTTATGCAGCAAGAGTGAATTTAAAGCTTGTTTTTGACCATTTATTTTCTTCATCTGTTTCTGAAAGAAATGCTGATCTTCTCTGCTAAATATCATTAGAACTTCAGGGTTTGATCATGTAGACCAATCCTCACTTCAGAAGTTAAGCAAACATCCGCTGTAACTGAACATCACGTTTTTTGCATGTTTGGTTAAATATTTGGAATTTGTATTGGGTCATATTTAAGCCTAGAGAAACAGGAAGTGATGGATCAAAAATTAAAAGATTAGTACATAAATAAAAATGCTTTATTTCTATATTCTCTAAATGGATTGTTAGAAACTATTATTTCTGTGCTAAACTGCAAAAAGAGATTCATTTATTGAAGTATTTTTACACATCCTTGCAGGGCTGAAGGTAAGTATGAAGTCCATCATACTCATCAGTGATGACAACGACCAGGATTACAGAGAGCGGGTGGAGCAGCTAGTGGGCTGGTGCAGAGATAACAGCATGATTCTGAACTGTTCATTAACAGCTAAACTGTAGAGGTGATCAGCAGCACCAAATTCTTGGGGGTGCACACCACAGAGAACCTGACTTGGACTGTAAACATCACCTCACTGGTAAAAGGGCACAAAAGCGCTTGTACTTCCTGCAAAGGATGAGGAGAGCCCACCTGCCCCCACCCATTCTCTGATCTTTTATAGAAGCACAATAGAGAGCGTCCTGACCAGCTGTCTCACTGTGTGGTGTGGAGGCTGCAGCGTCTCAGACTGGAAGAATGTGAGGAGAGTAGTGAAACAGACGAGAGGATCATCGGGGCTCCTCTTCCCTCCATAGAATACATTTCATCCCAGCAGTGCGTGTCCTGAGCCCATAATATTATCAATGACCCCTCACACCCCCACCATGGAAAGTTCTCCCTGCTGCCCTCTGGGAAGAGGCTTTGCAGCATTCGATGCAGGTCCAGCTGATTCTAAAACGGCTTCTTCCCCACCGCCATCAGACTCTGATTCAAACTGACCACACTTTGTGTAAACAAAATGACAATAAAGTTTGTCTAAGTCTAACCCAATTGGCAGCTAACTCTGCATCAAACACACAGGTAAAACTGGTCATTCCGATTCATAGCGCACAATCCCTCTGCCTGAATCATGATGATGCCGCCATGTCTCAGTGGTAATCAGGAGTTTGCACTGCAAGCAGGGAGTCATCTGTCATTGGTGCATAAGCAGGTCTTGAATTGAAATGTGCTCACAGTTGTACTACTAAAGGGAGAAGTGGCAGAGAAACAGATGGATGGACAATATAACGAAATAACGCTGAGTTAGGGGTGGGAGCAAAGCCAAGTTAAGAGATGTGGGAAGAACTGGAATATCTCTGGGAAGGACAAACATGAAAATAGGGGAGTGGGAATACCTTTATCAATTGAGGCTCCAGCCATGTGGTAGAAACTGAGTGCTGTGTCCACGTCGTTCACGTTCTTTAGGAAGGTAAAGAAATTCTCCACCTCCTCAAAAGTGATTCCCTGTGTAGAAATGGAGAAAAACTGTTAAGTTTGGGTAACAACCTGACCTGCCCCTCCACATAAAACAGCAGATCTACCAAAAAATATCACAATAAAAGCTTCAACTGCGCAGGGCCGCATGAGAGCAGCTCAACACTGTGACACAAATGACAAGAGGAAGTGGGCAGAAGCCGTCGACACACATGAATGATCGGAGAGTGGAGGAAGGACGGGCGGACAGACGGTGCTAAACACACATGCATAGATAAACACAGATCAGACAGCTGCAGTGCTGCTCAGGAGTTCATTTGGAAAGAAAAGCAAGCAGCTGGTCTCTGGCAGTATTACTGTTTTTTTTTGTTTTTTTTTCATTTACAATATGGGTTGTTTGAAATCTGAAAGAGCAAGGATAAGGAGGTGATGCTGGGCTTTAAACCCATTTATTCTTTAATAGAACCAGATTTTTATCAGAAGCCTTGATGCTTCAGTTCAGACATTCCCGGTTCCCCCAGAGGAAGATGAACACCACAGCATAATACCTCCTCTGACATGCTATAGGAATGGTGCTAGTTTTCTGATGATGTGAGCTTCAGTGTTTAGTTTTTGTCTCGACCACCAGACTTAGGGAAATTTTAAGCAGATCTGTTTCTGCACTGTTACCCCGCTCCTGAGGCAGTAGTACGCAGAACACAGGAGATTACCTGTTTTATCAGCCGTTTTCTAGGATAATTGCTGAATTTCTCCATCAGACATGCCTCATCGTGCCTTATGCAAAGTCCCTAAACTGACTGAGGGGATCATTACACTGAGGATGAAGCCAGAAATGAAGCTCAAAGACAATGAAGGAGGAATGTATGGTGGTTGGACAAAAATCCAAATTACACTCCAGTTTTTGTCTTGACTTCCATTTGGTGATGTTTTTCTTCATCTTAAATTGGACACAGGTTTAAACTCACTAATAAGAAATCCTCTGCTTCATCTTCATCTTCCCAGCAGATAGGTGAAGTTTGCAGTTCTGAATCAGTTGCTGTTTGAAGCTGCTCACAATTTATTACGTCATGACTGAACCACATCATAAAACTGTTCCATACCAGACCATGATGCATCCACCACCATCTTTTACAGTATCCTCTTGGTGTGTGGTGTTTTTTTTTTGTTTAAAACCAACACCATGTGTTGTTTTTTTTTGTTTTTTTTTTGTTTTTTATATGTTCATTTTTAGCTTCAACAAAACACTATTCATCCTCCCACAGAATTTAGGAGTTTACCCATAACTAGATATTTTTTGGGATTAGTCCAAACATGGCTCTTCGTGACCATTTTTCTTAGATTATTTCTACATTTCTCCATCAGAGCTGTGTCATTATAGCTAAGCCTCACTCCAACGTGCAGTTTTCTATATTTGTAAATTGTTAGCAGTCTTAACTTTCCAGTAGTTCCTATAACACTTTTGGGATGTCATTTGTATGAACAGAATTTCACTAAGAAGACAGATGAGCGCATTACACTAAAGAGCAGATAACTAGAAAGCAAATAGAAAACAGAAGGCACATATTTGTTTCCATTTTCATCTATTCTTCATTCTGTGGCTTAAAGCAATATGTCTGGGAGAAGTGAAAGAACGTTTCTGCCAAGAAACAGTAAAAACTCATTTCTGCACCATCAATTCCAATCAAGTTAGAGGAAAATGACTGAAAGAGAAATATTGAAGAAGAAAATGAAAGTCTGAAATATTTGGAGTCTATGGTGAAGCAGCTTGTAAAGAAACTCTTCTCCTGAGAAAATACGCTCTTCCTTTGATCAGAGATAAACAGAGTGTTGACCAGATGGATGACAACTGGCAGAAAAACCACTGATGCTTTACTTCTTGTCGTGTTATTTAAAAATACTATTTCCGAGGTGAATCTCTACCTTTCTGTCAGGCATGTTAAACATCATCACATCTAGGAAAGTTAATACCAGCACCAGACGTAGATATACAGCTGAGACATTCAACCAGAGTTGTTTTTGGCCAATAATGATTCTGAACTACTTTTTGTTAAAGGCAATTATTATTAGACAACATATAATTTCCATGAATAAAAAAAAACAAGGAATTAAATTTATCATCAATCGTCTTTAATCCACACCAAACCCCAATGATACTTAGAGGCTCAAATGTAAACATTTACCACCTGTTGGTTAGGTTTCCCTTAGAAAATTTGCAGCCTGATTTCATTCTTTTTGTAGCCACTTTCTGGATGTTTAATCACTTATTAAACTGGTTGGTTTTCTAGTTACTAACCAATGGAATCCAGCATAGCCCACAACTTAAAAAGAAGCAAACAAAAAACATTAAGTTTATGTTAAATCAAACAATATGTGTCGAGTGTTTTTTTCTGATAGTCTTTATTTCGTCTTTTATGAGCCAGATAAGAACTTCTGTGCTGGGTGCGTCTGCAGATATAAACATTGTTTTACATCATTGTCATCTGCTGGCAGTAATCAGTCAGGTTTCACCACCTTGGCAGGTTTGGGCAGCTTGAGGTCCCGCTTTCAGTAATCTCAAAGGTTCACATCTCATCACTCTTGGGATTCAATATTTTTAGCACTTTTTCACACTTGAACTTTGCTTTCTCTCCACTCCTGCTGGGGTGAAACTTCCTTGTTTACTTATAACTCACATGGATAACATTGTACTTCGGGTCATGTGGTCCATAGCAAACACTGGAAATGCTTTTGGAGTATACTAACAAGTGTAAAAAAAAAAAAAAAAGTCAACAAAGCACAAAGTTAAAATCAAAAAGCCTCTGTATGCAAGCAGATTGAGCAGCTGGTGTTGCGCTTGGTAAGGTCATAGTAATCTACTGGGCCTGTTTAAAGTTTTCTGTTCTTTCCACTCTCTGGCCAGATGTGATGTTTTTCGGCTCTTTGTCTAATTGAAACAACCAACTGCTTCCAGATGCAGCCATGCAGCTGCTGATTTCAGTAAAAAAACAGTAAAAAAAAAAACTCAAAATAGTGTTCTTTTGTTGTTCTTTCTACTCGGAACCCTGCACTGACAGAAAAACAGCCCCACAGCATGATCCTCCTACTGCCATGCCTCATAGTGTCTACACTGTTTGCAGGTTTGAAAGCATTTTTAAGCTCATTCAAACATATATATTTTTTTTTTTACAAGCTATTCGGTTTGTCTAAAGGAGAAATGATGCATTTAAGCCAAGCTGGAAGATTTTTAAAGCTTACTATTCTTTTATTTTTAGCCAAAACCCACTCTAACCAAATCAGTGTGGGTGGTGACATTGATTTTCTGGCTTCAGCCTTTGTAAAATGTTGTTTGTGACATTTTTCAACCAACTTCTTCTCCATTAAATGGCATTGGGGTTCTTTCAGGTGATTGGAGGAAAACCAAGTCTCTATAAAGGACAATGCTCCCTAAATCACCTCCGGTCAGAAAGAATAGATAATTTGGGGAACATTGGGCTACTTGGTACAACAGAAAACAAATGGACTACACCTCTAGGCAAGAGAAATACAAAGAAACCAATAAATTAAACTAACTTTTCCAGATATACAGGAAGAATTATGTCAGGGCTGCTTTCATTGACTATAGTTTGTGTGTTAGAGGCATCTTGCTAAGGGCCATTTAAGTAAATATGCATTCATAGGTGTGTGTCTACATTTGAACCACTTTCCTCCCTGGAAGCCAAATAGTTCAAAGAAGTAAAAGACTATGAGATGCATACTGATGATGGAAGAATGAAAGGTTCTCTAAGGATAAAGAAGTGATCGTCTCTGAGTGTGTATAAACAAAAAAAAAAAAAAGCAGAACTACCTGTGCATCCTTAAACATCTTCTTCAAGCCCTTCTGCATCTGCTTGAGTTTACGTGACTGGACGCCGCTGTACGCCAGCAGCATCCCTCCAAACTGTCTCTCTGTGATCCTGCCGTCCACGGGGTCGTTCCTCTCAAACTGTGGAGAGAGAAGGATGGAGAGTGTTTATCAAGGCCGCACTTTAAAAAATGAAATTGTCTAGAGAGCTGTTCTAAACAAAATTTCTTTTTGTTTACACTTGTGTATACAAAATGACAAAATAAATCTAAGTCTAAGTCTAAGACTGAGTGTTCTCCAGAGGGGCAGGCCAATCAGTAGGAGGAGGATGGGCAACGTTAAATACTTGTGTCACGCTTCATGCTGAATGTTGTTTGGAGCTGCTGCTGCTGAATTGGATTTTTCCCCCACAATGATTCACTGCAGGACTGCAGAAAAGTCTTGGATGAGCTTAGCTGCACTGAAATCTTGTACTGTTTGACAGCCTAAATACTGACATGTTCTTTTCTGGATCTGATGACTTGTGACAGTTTGCTGTACGTCTGGAGTCATGCAAGTCACTAAGCTGTGGCTGTTTGTTTAATCAACTAAGAACCTGTAAAGTCTGTACAGGAAAAACAGCTTAGAGTGTTTGTACAGTTTTAGCTTTTGGGTATGGTGATATAATCAGGAAATGGTAGATAACCCTTTCTATTAGAGCTAAGCTTTGTTCTTGTTTGTCTCTAATTAATACCTTCATGTTTTGGGAAACTGCCAATCAACAGAAAACTCTCTTTACCAAGGCTGTGGAAACAAATGACTGAATTCATTAGAAACATGTCAGTTTTGTGTTTGCTGTTTGTTAATGATTCTGATGTGAGAACTGCTGCCAGCGCCTGCAGTAATAGTTTGTTATTGCAAGAACTACAGTGTTGCTAGGCAAACACTGTTCATGGTGGCAGCCATAAAAAACAACAACACATCAAATATCTGGATGCTTAAACGTGCACGCCCTTCACGTTTAAAAATCCTGTTGAACTTTCCAAGTTGTCATTGGCAGGAGGCCTAATCTAAACCATGGTCAAATTTGGCCTCTTTGTCTGACAGTACTCCTTCAAATCAGTCAGATTTGGTTCTGGATTCTTGTAAACTTCTATTTTCTTTTAATGAAATCATTATTTTCTAAAGTCTAAATCAGAGGCCTGCATATCTGCCATATATCTCCAAAATGGCTGCTGAAAAGTAATATAAAAAAATCAATAATAAGTGTGGATATCTAAAGAATGCAGTTTTTTTTTTTGGGAGCAATTTCATTAAATTTCCACTAAATAACAAAAATAAAAGTAACAGTAATATGATTTAAGTCAATTTTTTGTCATAGGGTTGAAAATGATGTAAATATTCCACAATTATATGTAATATCCTGTTTCTGTATGTTTAATTTTTTTCCTTTTTTCAAAACCTAAAAACAGAAATAATTGATAAAAAAAAAAAAAAAAAAGTAAACCGTTTTGGAGCATCAATTGTAGGACATTTTCTTAAGGTTCTGTAACATTTGTAGCTCTAGATTTTTATCTAGCAGGACTGAGGTTTTGTAAAGGCTGCAGACCTCTGAAACCGATCAATGTCTGGACTCAGTCCACCTTAACCTTCATTGGTCCAGCAGATAACTGAAGGGTTAAGTCAACCTACAGTGTTTAAATCTGAATTTCACACACTTCTCTGTTAAATTTCAGAGGATAGTGTGGTAATCCCTAAATAATAAACTTTTGATTCAAATATACCCATTTTATTTTTTTTAATTGTTTTTCAGATCATCTTTTCAAACTCCCATAAGGTTTTCCCAGATATCAGTCAGGCAGACTTTTCCTGCCTGATCAGTTTCCATCTACTCTGTTCATCAGCAAACAAACAAACATTGTGTTTTTGTAACATCTCTTTCTGCTTTGACTTTAGCTTAAGGGATGCAAATGATTAAATGTTAGAAAAATCTAACTAGAACTAAAGGCTGAATGTGCAAACTCTTTAGAGCAACAGTAGAAAATGTACAAGGTGTGAAAACTTTAAGTGTCTACACATCTCTTGATATCTCTTGATGTGCACAACTCAGATATCACTGATCCACGTTGATGTCAGTGTCAGCTAGTGTCACTGCTTTCGTCATGACTTTACGTTCCTGCTTTATTACCTCTAGTTTGAGCACGTCGTGCTGCAGTTTCCTCTGAAACTCCAGAAAGCTGCCGATTGTGAGTTTTCCCTTCAGGTCTGCCCCAAAGAAGTAAGTGGTGAGAGCAGAGCTGCAGCCGGCTGTCTTCAGTGTGTTTCCTGTAGTGGAGCGGTCGCGGTGTCGCATGCCCATGCTGGTCTGGGATCGAATGATGCTCTGGACCTGTTCAAGAAGAAGCCACATAAACCAAGACTGTAGAAGCAGACAAATTAGCTAATGACAGGAATCGCTTGTTTTATGGTTTGATCGACCGCGACCTAAATGTTATCATTGCTCCTGACAATAGATGTTTGGAAACTGGCAACACATTTCTGATTGGTTCATCTTTAATCAAGACAGTTATTATAAAGTATTTAATCCCACTTCTATAAATAAAACAATCATTGTATTCCGCAAAAACGGATCCAGGTGGATAAGTACTTATTAATCCTAAAGGTACATTTCATTTGTAGGTCCATGTCACCTGAACCTTTCAACACCTGTTTTCTTAGTTCTGAATCATGCTAAATGTGTTGCTGTTGACAGTCTGACCTGTTCAAACTCCTCCAGGTCCACTTCTCCATCGCCATTTAGGTCAAACATCTTGAAAGCGATCTCAAAGTTCCTCTGGGGAGCTGGACAAGGCACAACATGAAGACACAAAGAGGGAAACCTTCTTAAATCAGTGCAGGACAATATGAAAAGAAAAGCAGCAGCTAGAGATAATGACATATTTACTAGAAAGCAGCCTCTCTGATCACACTACTGGGAATGAGCTCTGGGTATAAAAGGACAATAAACATCCCTCTGAGCACAAAACAAAATACTGCTCAATTAACCTCCCCATCTGCCAGCAATGATGCTGATACAACATATAGCACTGAGAAAAAATTAATACAACTAGCCCTTACGGAATTCAGCTTCTACTTTTTTTGTCAAACTTAAATATTAAAGATAATTTCAGAAAAGTACGCAGAGGACAAAATGTAGCTTTTAAACCATTATGTTATTTATTGAATATCTTTAAAAATGATATATAAATCTATAGAAAAAGATAAATATATGGAAACTAAGCTGGCTGTATGTGTAAAGGGAATCCTGATGAGCGGTTGTGTTACCATTAGCAGCAACAACTGGAATCGAGTGCTTTAGATGACTGCCATGTATTTATTTTTAAATCACTGCAGGAATTTTGCCTAAATCTTGCCTCCAAATTACTCCTGCGATCACAGCCGCTCAGTTGGATTTTACTCCAGGCCATCTTTTAAATCCTTCATACTGGAATTTTTGAGCATTTCAGAGGAATAATCTGTTGGGGAACTTTGGATCATGCGCTGCATGTTTCAGAAAACTGCTTAAATGGAAAGTGTTCTGAGATGAGCATAAAACTGATTCAACTAAACGCAAGATCGTTTTAATCGTGTCAATCGACAACACAAAGGCAAGCTTAAATAAACTAGAGACAGTAAAATAACTAAACTGTTGTTACCAGTTACACGAAGATGGGAAAAAAAAAAACTGCTTTCAAATGACCTGAAGGTTTCAATCAAATAATTTTTTTATAAAGCTTTTTAAAAAATATTGTTTAACAAAACGTTCAGTGCTATTCTTAAAGCAATTTCTAATATTATTTAGATTATAAAAAACTGCTGCTAAACAGAAATAATAAAATAAGAAATAGGTGAGCCTAATCTGTCAAATATGCCTAAATTGACCTTAAGGACGCTTCTGCTGCTTTAAACACCCATTTAAAGGACATATTGGATTTATTTAATATGATCTACTAAGATGGAACAAGTTTTATGCAAGCAGGCAAATGGTATCAATCATGGTCCTCCATTTCCAAGTCTATAAACCGAGCAGAAGCAGTCCTGAGATATCAACACATTGCTTTAAAAATGACTCAGCCGGAGAAATTAATCACACAAACAGATTATTATAAATAATCTAGCTAAGACGGTGATATTCATTTAAAAGAAGAGAGAGAGAGCTGCCATTAGCTAAAATATTCAAAGCAGCAACATCACCGTGCAACTTCCCCTTTTTTTTGCACGCTTGATTAGCTGTCTAATTTTAAAGATGGTGGGCTGAGAGCTTAGGCACTTAAATAGAGGAAGCACCACAAACAGAACGCTGACCAAACTCACTGTAACTAAACATAATTTTACTGAAAAAATTTTGTTTTTTTTGTCTAAAAAGAAACAAAGAGAGATGCAATTAGAAAAGTTTACAAACTTTTTTAACTTTTCCAAATGATTTTAATCGGGCATGTTCCTGACCAATACAAATAGGTTTTAGGGGTTATTCAAATTGTGTCAAATGAAACGAAAAGCCATAACCCCCTTAAAAATCTAATCCATGTTGGTTTTCATCCTCAGTTAAAACCGATGGACCAGAATCTTCCACAGTTCTTTAAAAGGCTAAAAAAAAAAAAAAGGACACCGCTTTGCAGAAAACTAAACACTATCAGAAATTAAATAACACACAGGTAGATGTAATTAACTATTGAATATATTCTGAAGTTCATTGGATTTCTTGATTTTATGCAGTTATCAGAATATAAAAAAGTCAAAATTACTTGATGATCATTCCAAAAAAAGTTAAAGGGGAATTGTGGTTCTGTTCTGTTCCCCTGCATGGAACTTCAGACTCTGAAGTTCCAGTGTGGTTAGATGTGATCACCTTGTTTTGCATGTGTTCTCTCATCCCTGCACAGCCTGTAAAAAAACTGCATAAAATGTTTCAAGCCTTTAACTATTGTTTCCGTCTTGAAACTATTCCAATTAAGACCATATTCTAAAGAAACAGTTGACAGAATTTGCCACCCTTAAGGTAATTTGCTTGCTGTTGTTTTTATTGCAACTTGGATAACTGACTAAAATGTAATCATTTAGATGATTTAAGTTTGAGATATAGCTCAGAAAGGATTACTTTATAATCCTTCACACAAGCCTTTTACAGTTATAAAACAGTAAAATGTGAGAGAAAAAAAGAAACCATTAACATTTGCAAGCCACTGTAAACTTGTCTACCCACAGGCAATGTATAGACCAAAATACTAAAATATAAATAAATATAAGTTAAATCTCATATACTTACTGGACAGCACGGTTGTGAGGAATATGTAGTCAGAGAAGGAGATAAGACCACATTCTCCCAATGTGTAAAATATGCTGTCCTCATCTGCAAACTTCTCTCTCTCTTGGGCGATTTTCTGCTCATCCAGGTCAGAACAAAAAAAATGGAAAGAAAAAATTAAAAGCAGCACAAACCTTTTGATTCTGCAGAAACACCACTTTTTAGAGAATTGAAATACAGCTAATGGACACAAACATTGTTTTTCTCTCACGCACATTTAGAAAATAGTCACAATGCACACCAAGGTTAATAATGGACTAGTTTTTACAGGAGTCATGCAACTGCTGCATACACATGAAGCCATACAGATGGGTGAGGGCGACATTGTAAAACAATCAGTCTGTGGTCAGGTCGGGTTATAAAGTCGTTATTCATCAGAGGCTTTACTCACGGTGTTAAAAGGACATAAAAAGAGGGGAAAACATCATGAGACACAAACACATTTTCAATTAAGCATGTCTGAAGCCCAACCCACACAGAAAACAGGTTAATTTTAGAACACACAGAGATGCCCAGCTGACCTGATAGTTCTCAGTCAGCACGTGTATTAACAGCATTGCATGACAGTCCTGAAGTCGCATGCAAACTACACACAGAGAAAGAGAGACAGCAGTAGGACGCTCCACCTCACAGAAGAACAGAGCATGCCTAGTGGAGGAGCGACGGCAGGGTGTGGTAGGGGGAAAGATTTGGGGCCCCACTGAGCCCTTGTGGAGTTACCTCCATCTGCAAACGGGTCCATTTCAGAGGAGGAGGAGGAGGGAGGAGAAAAAAACGATTAGAGAACATTGTGGCCTCTGCTGTGTTCAGCAGGGCCTTGAATGACAAAAACACACATTTGCATTGAGAGACACATCAGACATCATCTCGATCAACATAACAAAACGGTTTCTAGGCCACTCAAAGTTAGGCATAGAGATATGTCTCATCATGGTGGAACTGAAATATGACGGGAAATCCCAAAAAACACAACCCTTTTTATGAATCATGATTTTATTCCATCAGGTCTTTTCCAGATTTAATATCATTACAGCCACAAACTTTGACATGCTTATTTGGATTTTATAAAAAAAAAAACACAAAGAAGTGCATGATAGTGAACCAGAGGGAAAATTAGATTAATTAGTGCAAAGGAGGCCATGTACTGAGGCCTTTGTCCTCAACGTGGCCGACCCGGATTTGAATCCGGCCTGTGGTCCTTTGCCGCAAGTCCCCCTCTCTCTCTTGCACCCACTTTCCAGTCAGACTACTGTACCATAACAAAACCACTAGTGCCACAAAAACTTTAAAGAAATTTTTAAAAAATTTTATTAAAAAAAAAGTGTTCTATGTATTTGTTTTCAGCCACTTTAAAAGGAATATGTCCTTAAATAAGATCCACTGCAAACAACTTAGACTTAGACTCAACTTTATTTATCCACTGGGATAACTCCTTCAGGAAAATTCTGGTTCCAGTAGCTATATAGAGTAGAAAGAGTTAAAGCAAGATGCCATTAGAAAATAATTAAAAAAATACGATAATATAAAAAGTATATAGTACAAAAGAGCTTAAAAAAGTTGTAATGTCCTGGAAGATATTTCCTTTAGATATAAAAATATCTGCACAGTAGAGAGCTCAGGAAAGACGACGCAGTAGTTGACTTGATTATTGCAGTTGCACTGTAGAAATGTACTGAACATATAAATAAGTAAAAATTAAACAGACTACACAGACTGACAAACTGCCTACAGAGGTCCCCATATTAGTAAATAGGACGTACCTATGCGTAATTTAGCTCAGTGGAAATGCAGCTCTTCTATGAAGCCCTCAGAGTTTTGTTAGAGAACATTGTCCTTCATCATTTAATCCTACTGAGATTAAGCTTTTTTTTTTTTTTTTTTTTTTACAGAGAATAGAATATGTAACACAAATGTATTCTATCAGCAAAAGAAAAAATAAATAAATAAAAGGTTCTTCAACAAACTATGAAAACAGTGGGGCAGAATATATATGCAAAACTATTTTATTGCAGTTTTATTTGCAAACATTGTGAAAAGTCATGTATCCTATTCCTTCCTGTTCCAAATCATGCACTATTTGAACTATTCAGCTCATTAAATACATCAGTGTTTGTGGCTGTAATGCGACAATATTAGCTCAGCACTGCATATTTGTGTTTGACTTTCATCTGAAATAAACCAAAGTGATGCAAATCTGTTCAGTATTATTATTTGAAGACTGAGTGAATGTTGCATAAAGCAAATCCCAATACCCACATCCAGTCCTTCAGAAAAAACATATTCAATGCTTAAAATTGAGCGGCTAGTTCATTGCATGGCAATTTTTCCACAGTATTGATGGCTGTCAAAGACAAGTGAATAACAGTTAAACATAAATCCGTGATTCAAGTCCAGTCAGCAATGCCAAGACATAAAATAGCAGTTTTCACTGGAGCATGTATTATTAATGCTATCTGCATTAGCTGGTGTGGAGAAGGAAGTGAAGGGAGACAATGAAATGTTATCACTGGAGCTCTGATGCCAGCTATAGAAAATAAAAGAAATATATTAGAAGAACAAAAGGTTAAAAGTTGTTGGGTGAGCACAAGTATAGTAGTAGTGGAGAGAAATTAAAAAAGAAAAAGCAGAGAGTTTGGCTTGTTATAGGAAAAACAATCGCTCTAGATCTGTGTGTTAACTAAACGGGCAAATAAACAAGCATTACTCCAGTCGGCAGGTATCCTCCATACAGACCAGAGACACACCGGGCCTTGTTATTATCCTCATCATCATCAGAGCTGAGGCTCAGAGGACATTAAACATAATGGCTTAGTTTTTCCCCTGGCCTGAGTCAAGGACAAAAACAGCCCCACAGAAAAGGCCTGAATCACCCTGACAGAAATACAAACACTAATAAATAGACAAAGGGGGGGAGAGAAGGGCATACTTATTTGCTATAGTTGGAAATCTTTAACCAGCTCAAGAGAAAACAAACTAATAAACCCACAAAGACCTTCCTGAGTAACGCTCTATTTTAAAGACCCTAATCTTAAGTTAGTTTTCTCCCTCTTAAAAGGAGGGTTGTGAACATACAGTATATGAAGCGATCATATTACTTGTTGTCAGCCTATACGGGAGCACAATTATGGAGCAGTAAGGTAAAGAGGCTATGCACACTTTCATCTCAGAAAAAGCAGCAACAGTAATTGTGAGAATTCAGCTCCCCTTGCTGAAAGAACCTAATCTGAATGCAAATCACTTACTTGCCGTCTGACATGTTATGCAGATATTGCTGCTATCATATGGGACTTGTTGCTTTAGTGATGGCAAGACTGCTTGGCTTCCATGCATCAGTTATTTCTATTTATCAATCTGATCCATCTGCAGCAAATGAATCTAAAAGCCCTCTGGCTGATCAGCATATTTAGCTAAGTTAAGTTTGAAAAGCAACACAGACTTAAAATTCAAACCATAGTTGCCAATGGCAGAATGCCATCTTAATATTTAAACTTAAAGTGGAAATGTCCCTAGAAAAAGAAAAAATATGGGACAATTTTTCCCTGAAAACTAAATAACAACATATGGAGTCATCTTGACAAAAAAAAAAAAACTTTTAATAAATTATATTTATAGGAGCATTTAGCCACCGTTTAAGATCACAGAGAAAGGTTACTTTCCCCTAAGATTGATCTATGAAGAGAGGGTGAGAATAAAGTATACAGCCAGATAACACCAAACCACCATTTAAAGTAGTTTTTTTCCACAAACTATAAAATAACTGGACATTTGGATTCATTTAAATGCTGTCATGTTTAAGGTTGGAGATGAATCACAAGCCATACATTAATCATTTCAGCTGTTTGAGAGCATTAGGTTTTTTCGTTGCATTGTCTTATTAGATGATGCTTTTGATGAGCCTCAGTCAGTAAAAAACATCTGCTCATATCAACCGATCGCTTAAGTAAATAAGTAAACAATAAGTGCCCACAGTAAATGTTCTTAAATGACCTAGTGTTTGAAAGCAGCTGCTGATTGGCTGCATAAGACGTTTCCTTTTAAACAATAAATATGTAGCTCATCAGAAGTGACAGTTAAGATAAGATGTTGCTCCATTTGGGAAAACAAATTATGCGCATATAAGTGTTGTGACAGAGTGTGCTCTTAATGTTTTCACAGGTACATCAGCTATCATCCCAAAGAAGAAAACATGGATTAATCTTGTTGTATTATACCCGTGTATCCCAATCTTTTTGACTTGTGTTCCCCTTAGGGCATTTTTTCTTACCATGAGTACCCCTATCAGCCAAAAGTATTGATGATTGTCCAAAAGTGGAACTTACAATAACTGATTATAAAAAAAAAAACTTTTTTTTTACTAAATCTTTTAACTTCATAATTTCTTTCTAAAGTATTACTTCTTAATTAATTCTTAATTCTAAAAAAAAAAACAACATACATATTTTGACTGTAAGTTAGTAAGGAATCGAAATAAATACATAATAAAATACTATAAACCTGTGTTTTTAAAACTGGAGCTCCTTTGAGTAACTCCATTATAAACACATTTAAACTTAATGAATTGGGAACAAAATACAGAACAAAAATTATATTCAGACTGACTTAATTAGTTTTATTTTGTTTTCATCAAGACACCTGAGCTACTTTGATGAGCTCCGATAGCTCAGGGTAAAAAAAACTGCTGATACCAGGCTGTTCTCTACATCCAGACTGTTGCCCTGTCTTATTTGGTGAACTCAATATATAAGAAAAACTTACTTTTTGGTTGATAAAAGCTTGTTAATTTTTCAATTGGGTCCTCACAAAGCAAACAGATCCCAGCCTTATTTTATTTTACTATACAAGAAATAAAATTTTTTACATGTACCTCTTGGAATGCATTCGCAGACCAATAGGGGTATGCGTACCCCTGGTTGGGAATCACTGCTGTAACTAACAGTGGCTGGTTAAATAATAAGTACTCTGGTGAGCCAAATGCGGGTAAAAAAGATGCACAAATCAGAAAAGAACTGGTGCCAATCGTTGTATTAACTGAGGAAGTCAATACTTTCTTCTTGGGTGGATATTTTGTTAAAATTAGCGATTGTTGTCATATTTTGTCAATTTGCTTATCTTCTTTCTCATCTTCTTTTTTAACCTAGATATCATAAGCTACAGGCCAGTGCACAACTTAAAAATTCACGCTGTAGGAATAAAAAAACAAAAAAAAAGGAAAAAAACAAACAAAGCAAACATAATAAAAAGTGTTTGAAGTTATTTTAATCTTTTAAATGATACTTAATTCTGTTCCTTAAATAGCAGAATATTTAACTTGAATAAAAAATAAAAGATCCAACCTCTGATTTAGTCTGGATTTGTTTTTACAGCCCATAATACTAAACGTTAAACAAAGAAAGTAATTACAGCTGAACGTGGAGTTAATTAACATCTGTGGGTGTCAGTTGATCACTGTCAGATCTGATTGTTTCTCTTAGCGAGCCAGGTGTCGGAAAACATCCTTACCACAGGGACTGCCATGTGCCTCATACATCTCTTCACATGTCAGCCAAGTTATAGCCAAGCCCATCAGCTGTATATGGATGACAAACTGAGCTGGCCCACAGGCCTGTGAGATAAGGCAGAAACATAGTGCTGACAGAGCTGCTGACTGAACTCTCAGCCCTGCTGGCGGCAGGACAGTGAACCGTACTGCTGTCGTATAGACACACAGACGTGTGAGGGACTTGGCTTAGTCTTACCTTTCCCCTGAACCAGTCCAAACATAAGCACATTAGACCCCATCCAACAAAAAATGCAAGAAGAATAGGAAGAAACAAATGAGGCTTGTGAAGGCTTACAATCCTCCCATCCAACACATCCATAAAAAAATATCAGGCCACAAGACCGCACCTTTACTGCACATCAGGCCACCTGGCTTTGGGCCGACAGCGGCTTAAACTTGGCCTGCTATGCGTGAAAAGACCGCAGTGCTCCGTCACAGATAAGATCTGTGGCCAACACTGCAGCAGCTGGCAGGCAGGGAACTGAATAAAGAGAGAATAGGATGAGCTTTGTAGTCTGTGTCCAAAATTTCAAACACTAATAAGCAATCTTAAGATGCGGTGCCACTTCTGTCTGCACAGTCTCCTCTGAAAGTCATGAGAAGAATATTATTCATACCAGTCATATTTTATCTGACTAAAACCATAAAGTTCTTCCTATTTTATCTGAATATGGTAGACCAATACCAGCAGTGCATCATTGTGCAGTGGAAGGAAAATTACAAGTTCTTTTTGTTTGTTTTGTTAAATTCCGACAGAACCACCAGTTACAGTTTCAAGTGGTTTTAGGGTACGTCTGAAGCTAAGTCAGACTCAGATGCAGAACATTTGTTTATATCAATTTGATGTTTTGCAACAGATTTAGATGGGGACTTTGACTGGGCTTTTTTACCGCCTCTCTTTGTTTTGATCTAAATCTTTTCAGCGGAGTTCTGGCTCTGTTTTTAGGATCATGGTCCTATTGAAAGGCGAACCACCACCCCAGTCTCAAATCTTTTACATTCTCTGGTAGATTTCCCTCCATCCATCTTCTAATCTCCTAATCGGATAATTAGAAGATGGATGCCGTCACTGTTTTTCGCACCGAGGATGTTGTTTCATAATTAATTGCAGTGTTAGATTTCCACCTCACATATTTTACATGCATACCAAAACGTTGGGTCTGTGTCTCATCTGAGCAGAGCATCATACTCCGTTAGCTTAGGGCTTTTTTTCTACTACTTTTCCAGTGAGGCCAGATTTTTTAAATGCAAAACCTTTTAACTTTCTCCTCATCAAAGAAAGAAAAAAGAAAAACTTCTGGTTCTACTGAACCCATTCTCCTTAGATAGGTTTGAAGTGTAGACATGCTTTCTGTTTTTAGATGATGGGCTGAACAGTGCTTTATGTCATGTTTAAAGTGATAGATATTTCTAAATCGTTTTAAACTAATACTTTATTGAATATATAATACACTAATACCAGGTTGAAACCCGTCTACTATTTTGCTTGGTCTTTCTACTTGCTCACTAATTTCACTTTAATGAAACACTGAGACCTTCACAAAGGCAAATTCATTATCATATCCAAAAATATATATTTTGTGATACCAGAGAACTTAAAACCAGGTATCACTTTCTTTCCTCTTCACAATTAAATGACACTTTGTGTTCATCTATCATATAAAATCCTAATAAGATTAATTGAAGTCTGAGTAAATAAATGGTTCAGGAGAACTGAAACACTAAAACTGATCTCTGCTGATAAAGCAGACTATGATTCTGAGTGAGGTTTTATTATTAGATTTGTCTGTATCTGAACTCTCAGTGGTTGAAGATGCAGGTTAAAATAACCTGTGAAACTGGAGTATAAACAGTAACAAGTGAAACGGGATCAGCATGTGCAGCGTGACTCACAGAGTAAAATGGTGTCAAAAAAAAAAAAAAAAACGAAGCTACAAATCAGAACCAGCACCTGTGTGTCCCTTATGTGATGCGATAGCTTAAGGGTTCCTGTCACTTTAGCCAGAACAATACAGGTTTCAGTATAACGTTCAGAATGACTTGCTTGAGGCTAAAGGTAACAGTTATCTGAGCTGGATATAAGAGGGAAGCTAGAGACTCCTGGGCTGTAAAACACTAAATGAAAACCATAAATTATCCATGGCCATCTGAAAGGTCAAAAGTCCACATTTGCTGATGCATACTGGCATAGGGATGAAAAGAGGCCGCTGTGTGTGGGTGAACAGATTGGTGTGGGTGTGGGATAAACTAATGCATTCACTCTCCACCTCTAATTCACCTCTAATCCCAGGAGTAACTGCATAGCAGGTGCTCCGTTAATAACTCATGATCACTCAAGGAGCTAGTTTTGAAAAACGGCTCCTTATGCAGAACATTTCTAAGCTAATTTTACTTGTTTAACTAAGTGAGAAGTCTCATCATACGATAAACAAAATGAGCTTGATAAAAAAAAAAAAACCTCTAACAAATTCAAACAGCTCAACTGTACAGAACTAAAGAGACAGGAAAGTATTTACAACATTCATGAGTTAGCTTTCACAAAGTAAATCATATAGAGAAGTTAAAGAAAGCTAAAGCCATAAAATGCACAAACTGCTATTAAAATCTGCGCCCATACATGTTTATTTTATTTAAGGATTAGTGTCACATTTCAGATCTTCAGAAAAGTTTATATCGGACAAGTTTAAACCTGAGTAAATACAAAATAGAGCCTTCAAATAATAATTTTATTTTTTAAAGGATAAAAAACATCCAAACCTTCTTGACTGTATGTGGAAAAGAGGATCCAGTCTAAACAAGCTAAACAATCTCACTGGCAGAAAACACTGCCAGTGAGATTAAAAAAATAACACATTTTTGGAGCAACGCTGTTCAGTTTTCATGCATGATGTGTAGGCTTTGACTAGACCCCAAAAACTACTTTCATTTCCTTTTTTGGCCCTTCAGAGTTGGACTTACAGCAGCTCTGCCAAACCTTGGTCCAGCCCCAGATCAACACACTACCACCACCATGCTTCACATTCTGTTTGTTGTTAATTCTGCTAAACTTAATGGTTAGATGCTACTCTAGGTCTTACTCTAACCTAAACGGGTCAATGTGACATTTTTTCTCTACATTCATGATTTGATTGAGGCCCAAAGCCTTTCTACATTTCTTACAATTTAAACACGTTTATTCCAAATTATATATCTACAATCCTATGAAAGTTAGTGGTCTATTTATGTAGCTGTAGCACCTCATCATCAAAGAGAATTTTTAGTAAGTGTAAAACAAAACTTGGCTTTTTCTGATTCTGACTCACAGCTGATTCATGAAGTCACAGAGAGCCAGGTTGGCTTGGTAGCTTTTTCTCTTAAAAATTACATTTTGAAAACCATTTCTTTGGCTAATTTACAGGCTTTGATGCTAGATTTTGTTTGATGATCAAAAATATGTAACTGGCAAAGAAAAAAGCAAAAAAAACTGGAAGGGGACAGAGACTTTCCCCAGCCCTGTGAATGCAAGTCTTAAAAAAATAAAAATAAAAAAAACAGATGTTATTATCAAAGAGGTCGTCCAGGAAGCTTCCTGTGAAACAAGCAATAGTCAGTATGACATGAGTTGACATAAAAATAGCCTTGTTTCCCTTCAAACTCCAAGCTGTGTGTCTTCCATCTTAGCAGGTCACACTGTAAACAGTTCAGCTTCAAAAAGGAAGAGACCAACCCATGTCATGAAGATTAGGAAGAAACAGACCAGGTCCTGAAGCTGCAGGACCTCTGAACCATGCGCTTTCAAAAAAAAAAAAAAACCTCATGCAGACTCACATTCTCAGCAATCCAGAGGATGGATTTGTGAAGGCTTACAAGCACATCAAAAACAGCCTGACATTAGCTAACAAAGCAATCTCCTAGATCCAAACCCGCGCCGCGATGCCGCCATGCGCAGGAAGGAGGCGCCACCGACGGCTACTTTCCTCTGAGGCACAGGCAAAGAGAGCAATGCATGCTGGAAGGAACAGCTGGAGCATCAAAAGCATGTCGAAACTAGAGCCGATACTTTTTCGAGGAAATGAAAGGATGGGGAGAAAGGGAGTGTTCTTCCAAAGCAAGACAGAGGGAGTGCAGGGGAACAGCAGCCGCTATGATCTGGCATTGACTTTATGAATTAGTTATGGTTGGCTGCTCTTAGCATCTCAGTTTGCAAGGTTTGACTCTACTCATAAAATTTAACAATAAACCTAAATGAAACTCACTTTTAGGGAGTGACCACTAACGTGTGCATTATGTAGCCAAGCTGCAGCGTTTAATAATCCTTGCAAAGGCAAAGCATAGTCCTTACATTCAATAATTCAACATAGTGGGTATGGCACAAAGCTGCCTGGAACAAGCTAAACAAAGAGTAACTGGAAGGTCGCCAGCTCAACGTACAGGAACAATACAACACCTACACTAGTGCACACACAGTGGGGTGTACAGCCACTCCCCTGGATGGCACACCCTATACTTCAACAGTGAACAGGTTATAACCTGCCCTTTGCTGTGCCCGACTTAGCTTTTTATTACCCTTAACCTGTTTACAGGTTTAATCATTCAGCAGATAAAGCACTAGGTCAAAGCTCGTCTATTTATGATGATTTTGTTTATCAAAAACAAACGGCATATTTCGCATAATGACTCCCCGCACCCTTTGGCTGCTGCCCTGTTCAAACTGACCATAACTAAAGTGAGGCGATGCTATGAGGCAGTCTAATGCTCGCTAATGCAGAGATTTAAATAAAAAATATTCAGCTGTTCCCCTGAACTAATAAGAAAGTGAGCAGCTACACTCTTCATTGCATCAAAGGTGTGGATAATTAAAAGGAGAGAAAGATCGGGATACGAGGAAGGAAAGTACAGAGTGGAAAAGTGGTGACTACAAAGTGCACTTAATCATTCAGGTGCGACACATGCTGCCCGGCACACACCCCATACCTGCCAGAAGTCCTGCAGAGGGAAGGGCAGAGCGACACGGAGACGAGGACGAACGGAGGGAGGGGAGGGGAGGGAGGGAGACAGAGGAGAATTAGAAGAGGTGGAGAACCAGACAAATGGTATGATCATAGGTGGAGTTTGGGGTAATCGGTAGGAGGTGTATTTTGGAAAGGGGGGACAAGGAAAATGTAGGGGGATGTGGGGGGGTTTGAGAGATGTGGAGTCATGTATAAAGTTTTTATAAGGGATGGAGGAAAGGAAAATAATGGAGAATTATTTATGTGGAATGAGAGAAGGTAGCTGATTAGAGAAGAGGAGAGTAAATCACAGTTAAAAGCAACATGAGGTCACATGAACATCTCTGAAAGCTGAACCATATTGATGGCAGAGAGAAGAAGAGTGAGAGCAGCATAACAGGTTATCACCAAATACAAATCGTTCTATAAAGAGAAGAACATATACATAGAGACGATATATACAACTTCAAATATAAGCTTTACATTCAGACAAATCAAAAAACATTCTTTTTTAAAGGTAAAACAAAACATTTACAACCTGCTATTATATAACAGAACATATTTACCTTTTAGCGTCTATGAAGAGGTGTGTTTGGCTAAAACATTTTAAATTTAATCATAAAAAGGCAGACAGGAACAGATGTATCTAACTATGAGAGGCTCTTCTCTCTCAGTAACTCGGTTGAACTGTTTTAGAAGGGAAAAAGGATTTATCTTTTTTCATATTTTATAATACCAGATTTTGTGTTTAACATTTATTAATAACATTTAAATGCACATTTTTGTGCCCAATGCAATTTTAAATTCAGGGTATAAAAAGCACAAAGAGGTTATTTTTTAAAAAAAGCCCTCGTTTTACTCAGATCACCTCCAGGATATCAACTTTAGCTATTTACGACCTCACCTCCAGCTACAGCCCTCTTTTCTGACTTCTCCTCTGTCCTAATTTAGTCCCTACTAATGTTTCACCGAAGGCTATTCCAAGTCTCATTTCTTGGCATTTTTACTTTCATGTGAGCAAAATTTTATAGCTTTTTTGGCAGATGATCATAATGCTTTATTCGTCTTCCAACTAGTTAGAGGAGCTCATAAAACCAGAGAAGGAGGTATGTGTCTCTGAGCAAATGGGAGAGTGGGTGAAGCCGGCCTCAGAGGGAAGGGTACACCAAGTCACCCTTTAGCGATGGCAGTAAACTCTCCTGGGTCAACCGAAGCTAAATGCAGTACCACAGTGAAAGCCATGTGTCTAGAGATTTGCATGGCAAATAAAAGAGACATGTGGCCTTGAGATAAGGGCAACATTTACATAAGCAGACAAGAGTCATAAACGAAGAGTGTTTAATTTTGATTTTTAGGTGCCTCAGAATTAAAATCTAATTTTGTTTTGATTGGTCTGCATTCCAAGCTCTTTAATTATACACTCAAAAGGGCAAATTGAAGTTTTGGGAAACAAAGTCTTGAAATGAAGAAGAATAAAATGGAGTAAAATAGACAACTTGTGGAAGAACTGACTCTTACAGACTTGGTGCGTTTTATCATTACGGAGATTAGGAAGATTTATACCAGCCTAAAAGGCTGATGAATTTTATAATGAGATAGGCAACTCTAATCCCATATTTATGATTTTCTATTATAGAATGAATAAGGATGGCAGCCTGCTGGCTTTGAGAATTATCATTAGTATCTATGATAGAGCAAAAAAGGTCACAAATCAAAATCAAGGAAAGCTGTGATGATTATAATAATGGAGATGGTGATTTATATTCATGATTTCTTGCCTAATGACGGTAAACAAAGAAAAAGTTTCTTTTCAGGGCCTAAAACTGGGTTCTAGGAGTTGGTTTGTGGGTAAGATGAGATGTGTACAGTCTATAGCAAAAGTGGCCATACTCCAACTTTTTCTATTAATTTGATCATTTTATTTTTATTAATTAATTAAT